GAGATTATATATGTATACATACATACATACACACACACACACACATATATATATATATATATATATATATATACTGTATATATGGTGGGTGCTCCCACCAGTGTCGATATACAGCCATATTGCATTGCTACGAGTGTGATATTGCGTTTAAACAACAGTTTGATGGCATAATTGTGTATATAAAAACAAAAACATGGAGAGTCTCAAAAACCCTTTTGTATGAGGAACTACTTTCTTCCGCGTTGGATTCAAGTCATAAGCTGACAGTTAAACAGCTGAGCAAGCATCTTTTAAACTTTAGATCTGGGGGGTATTCCAGAAAGCTGGGTTAACTTACCATCTGCTAAAACCTAAACTCTCGGTTGATTTACCCAAAACCTGCTTACCGCGAGTATGTTGGTTCCAAAACAGGTGACAAGAGTTAGTTAAATCAACCTCCTGAAGATAACCGCGGGTTAATGCGCGTGCACGGCACACACCTGAAGACATTTTCAGTAGATCGCCGAATTCACGAGTCACCATAGAAAGTCACGGTGAGAAAAAAAGGGCAACGCACTTTACAGAGGCGAAGCTGGAGGTTTTAAACACAGAGATTACACATCTGCTTCAACGAAGGAAAGAAATATAGAATAAGAAATAGATAAGAAAATAAAAAATAAATAATAAGAAAATTTATTAGTTCATTAAATTACACATGCCACCCTCCATTTTATTGTAATGATAAATTAAACTACTCTTTAACATCCTTTTTGAGTATGTGTGTAACCATTCATGCATTTATTTTTCTTGCCATTAATTTCTTAAGGCCACAATATGTGTATTGACTAATAAGGCTTATAGAAATTGTAATCTTTCTGGAGCTAGAACTCTGTCCAAAGTCATTAAACACAGAAACATTCTCGAAAAAGGTAATATTTAATTACTGGAGCTCTTTATTTAACACTCTAGAATATTCTTTCTGACATGCAGCTAATAGAAAGAGGCCTGTCTAACTGCTGTGTCCTATAATAAAGGCTTTTCAGTGGTTGAGTTTTTGACTTAAACCACACACTCTGTCACTGTTGTAAGTGATTGTTGTCAGATAGCTTTAGGTTCTTTTTATTTTGCATGCAGACGAAGTTCCTTCTGCCTCAACTAACAAGCAGTGTAAGAATTTTCTGCACTTTTCCATATTTGAATATTACCCTTGGATCATAAAATCTTTTATCTGCATATTTAAATTCTAAAGTAGCTGTATAAGGTCCATCTTCAAAGATAAAGTCACATGAGCATCAACTTAAAGTGAGAAATGTATATGAAAAATATGTTACACGTTGAAAGGTGTGTGTATAAAGCAGTGTACAAAATCATTTATTTTATTTCAGGAAATAAAATGAAATAAATTTCTTCAAATGAAGAAATGAACAGACCAAACTATTTGATTAAACATAGTTTTTTGAGTAATTATATTTTCTCAGCACTCTTCCATCTGTTTTGTCTGCTTGGGTCACTGAGATTTCCTCTGGGTCAGGCTGCAGGTACGTGTCATCGTATAAGGCAGAAAAGGGTATCTTTTGTCCTCCAGCAAGTAACAATGTAGTGCCCAGTAATGATTCTATTTTATAATACAAATATAATAAAAATAAACATTGTGTTAAGCAACATTTGCTTTATAGTTTTTTTTTTTTTTTTTTTACTATATTTGTGTTATACACTTGAATCACTACTTCCTGAAAATCAGCCATTTAGCCTCAACATAGTGATGAGGTGGGGTGTGTGATGAGCTGGTAAGTGGAAGCAGTAATGAGTTTAATAGTTGAAACACCAAAAGATTAAGGATAGAAAATTAAGTTGTACCTGCACACTTATAATTTGGACAAATTTTATATTATCAGTGTCCTTTAGTGACTGATGGAGCTTTAAAATCGGCTGCAATTAATGCACACAATAGCATTTAGAAACCCTGAAAAAAATATAATATTAAAAAATGTAGGTGTGTGTGCGTGAATGTATATATAAGAACGTCGTCCTACATCTTAAATTAAAGATATATTTTCCTACAAAAGACAAAGCTGCCACTTATAATATTATACAGAAAAATGTGAGGGTGCAGAAGGAGAGAAAAAACACAAGATCTGTAAGTGAGATTCGAACTCGCTCCGTTGTGCGCTCCGTTGTTCTTTATCGACACACTGTCCACTACGCTATTCCCGTGGTCTAAATCATCTGTGTAATGATACGCAGTAATGTATGACCAAGAAACTGTACAAAAGTGTAAAAAACAGTTCAGTGCCAGGCATACTGTACAGGTGGTCATACTGCCACATTGTACAGTTGCCTAAAATGCCGTGACGCGAATACAAAGAGCTGCACTGAATGTTTTTTATGGTAAGCGCAGACCCCCGGTTTGTCACATTTGATTTCAAAAAGGTTTGTTAAATACATTAACATTATGAATTTAGTTATGAAAAAAACTATGCACTTATAACCCTCTCACAACGAAAAAACTTGTATCTGTGTGTCCACATCTATAAATATTCTCATCAAAAGAGCACGCAATGCTCAGTAAACTCTCTGAAACAGACAAACTCTGAAACATAGCAACTTACTCTCTGAACATAACCTGCTCCGGAGCAGGTTATCTTCAGAGAGTAAGTTGCTATGGCTACTTAACATACCCAGAAGTTACCTCCGATTTTGGAACCAAAGTTGAGGTTATCCACCTACTTACTCTCAAACTTACCCGTGTATGTCACATAACCTGCTTTCTGGAACAGCCCCCTGTAGTGTCTGCTTGTTGCTGGCTGTATGTGGGCGGAGTAATACACAAAGGGTAAAGAGGCTGTACGGGTGCTGATATTGCTTACATATATCACAGCTATCAGCCAATCAGATTTGAGAACCGGACAGAACTGTTGTACAAATATAGTTTTTGGTTGTTTTTTTAAGTTTGGTTGTTACAAAAGCAGGTAAATTATTATTTTAAGGTCAATATTATTAGCCCCCTTCAGAATTTTTTATTGATCGTCTACAAAACAAACCACTGTTAAACAAAGACTTGCCTAATTACCCTAATTTTACCCTAATTAACCTAGTTAAGCCTTTAAATGTCACTTTAAGCTCAACACTAGTGTCTTACAACATGCTCTGTGCTGTCATCATGGCAAAGACAAAAAAAAATTATTAAAACTAATATGTTTAGAAATGTGTTGAATAAAATCTTCTGTTAAGCAGCACTTGGGAAATGTTTTAAAAAGAAATGTAATGTAACAGGAGGGCTCATAATGTAGATAAAACACATCTCGCTCCAGTGCCTCAGGGTTTGTCTATTCTACACGCCAAATCATGACTCCCATAAGTACAAAGACAAAGTGAGACATTTCAGGCCTCCAGGCGATGTTTTGGTCATGTGACGTGGGCTGGAAACATGTACCCGTCTGAATCTAGACAGAACTAGTTTAGAGGTCGTTACACTTTTTCAGCTGCGGTTTTGTTTATGATAACACAGGAAGAGGAAGTCCAGACTCCAGCAGCTCTGCTGACATTATAGTGCTAAAATGCAAACATAAAGCTTCCTGTTACCCTTGAACACCACACATGCATGGCAAACATGTGAAGAGGCTCATATACAAAACAGTCAGAAAAAGACTCTATTTAAGGGTCAAAGCACACAGTTTAGAGCCTTACACTTTTTTTCATAGCGGCTTTTAAAATGAACATGATTAAATTAAATTTAAATACAATTAATCCCTTCTGCTTTTGTAAGTTTTAATAAATACAGGTCAGAATCAGTATTTATTTTGTACGTTTAATATATATATCTTTTCGCACCGCCATACGACAGAATTTCGCAAGCTTAAACTCTAGTGTGACCACAGCTTTATGCATTAAAAAGAGTCATGCTTTGGTTTTAAGGGTCTCCAACAATATGCGGATCTGCATGCAAGGTCAAAAACACTTTCATTGTCTTATCTACAGTGAATATGATTTGTTCAGCAATTCATTTGTTCCCAAAGCCCTCCTTTTTTTTTAAATGTTTTTTAATATTTACTTTGTATTATTCATTTAATATTTATTTGTTATTCATTTAATATTTATTATTTATTTAATATTTATTTATTATTCATTTAATATTTATTTATTTACTATTAATTTAATATTTATTTATTCATTTAATAATTTATTATTCATTTAATATTTATTAAATATATTATTATTCATTTATTATTTATTTTATATCGATTTATTATTTATTTAATATTTACTTATTTAATATTTATTTTACTTATTAATAATATATTTATTTATTGTTCATTTAATATTTATTTATTCATTTAATAATTTATTATTCATTTAATATTTATTTATTCCCTTAATATTTATTTAATTAATATTTCTTAATTTAATGTTTGTTTATTAATTTAATGTGTATTTATTTATTAATAATTTAATATTCATTTAATATTATTTAGTATGTATATTTTTTTATTAATTTCATATTAAATTACTAAATAAATATACAATTATTAAAATATTAAATTAATAAAAAATACATATTAAATTACTAAATAAATATTAAATTATTAAATATGTATTTTTATCAATTTCACATTTAATAATTTAATATTTTAGTAATTAAAAATTTATTTAATAATTATTTAATTATTTAATATTTATCGTATAAAATATGTATTTTTTTATTCAATTATTATTTATTTATTTATATAATATTTATTTATTTTAAGTTATTTTAAACACAATCGTTTTGGTTTTAAGGGTCTCCAACAATATGCTGATCTGCATACAGTAAATATGATTTGTTCAGCAATTCATTTGTTCCCAAAGCCCTCCTTAGCACGAAGCTATTCTGTGCTGATTGGACTGTTGTGATTGGTCGACAGTGTTCAGCGCGAGAGAGTGAAATGCCCAGCACGGCTTATCAACAACATTGAAGTAGTCAGAGTGCAGAGTGTATGTGTGAGCATACCTGCCAACACTCCTGTTTTTCCCAGTAGTCTCCCGTACTTCAGACCCATCCCCGCTACCCTCCCGTTTGTTATTTATCCCGGAAAAATGTAGGAGAACATTTAAGATGACATCTTTTGACAGGTTTTTTATGAGACTCTTCATATAAATAAGCAATATCACAACGAGTATCAGTGCGCTGTATATCAGCGGTGGTGGGAGGTGTGTGTTGGCACGAGGCCGCAGTGTAAGTGTCCTCCTACTAGTGACGAAATAGTCATATTGCACTGCTACGAGTGTAATATTGCATTTATACAACAGTTCGACGGCACAATCGTGTGTATAAAAAAGATAATCAAACACAGTTAAAAAACCCTTTTGTATAAGGAACTACTTTCTTCCGCCATTCATTCACATCTGCAGCTGACGTCAGAACAGCAGAAAATGCTGCTACTTCACCAATGTCACTTTGGAGCTAGTGTTTGAATGATTCTCTAGCATAATGTCTAAAGTGATGACAAAACAGCTGATTTTGCTCACATTTTAAAGGGCCATGAAACCCCCTCGTTTCAGCAGGGTGTTTTCACACCTCTACTTTAGAAAAAGTCAGAAAAGTGGGCGTGTCCAGCTCTGTTTAGGAGGGAGTGTCGGAGGAACTAAAGTGGGATGGTGTGGGAGTGTCTATTTGGGCACGCGTGAGTTTCAGAGTCAAAATACACACACACACACACACACACACACACACACAGTAGAAAGTGATGGTGTTTACATGGACATCTGTAGTCGAATTATTTGCCAAATTATTAAATGGTGGACTTTAACTGCAGTTTGGCTCTTTCATTCAGGGAATTAATTCATGCCCCTCGCGACAAACGAGATATTTGATTCGAGGAGCTGCTCTAAGCATGTATTTTTCATGCAACGTTTGATACCGCACGGCGAATGAGAGAAAAAAACCTCTGCATTTCCCGGAAACTTAGATGCACACGGCAGGTAGAAAACCGCATGTGTTATTCCGGTCACTAAATGCGGTAAAAAACCTACACGAGGTTAAAGTTTGGTTGTGGTGCTAACATGTTTACACTCGGTGCAATAGTTAACTTAGTTCGATACGAACAAACTGAATAAACAAAGAGCGCTGGTCGCTCACTTACCAAATCTGTAGAGACAGGACAATCACCAGCAACTAGAGCCGCGTCTTTATTAAGAGGAGACTACAAGCGAATCCGGATCTCAGTGTTTGCAGATGAGAACAGCTCTCAGGTAAACAATAATCCTCCTTAGACACGTAAGTTATTGTTGTCGAGCGTCGCGTACACTGTTAATCCACACGTGAGTCCAGCTGCGCTCTCACAGAGAGAAAATGAAAACAAAACTTAACTGCAGCAAACTATAAAAGCAACACTTCACGCTTGTTTTGCCAACACAACGTGGTGTATCTGTCGTCTAAACACTGTGACAGTAATGAATATTAATGAAGTTGCACAATAGAGCGCGCTGATTGGTTTGAACCAAGCTTTACTCATGCATTAATGCAGCACACTGTAAGACGTAATAAGACACACTCTGCACTCTTCAGTCTGCACGCTGGAATACACGCTATTATGTCATGAACGTGACGCAGCTTCAAAAATTAGTTTCAAACAGGAAGTACGAATTTGCTTGAAATAACGCAAAAACAACCAATTTACACTTTATAATGAAATATAGGTGTCCTAATAGTGTTTTTAGCAGTGTGGGACACATATACCACTGTCAACAGCTCAAAACATGTGTTTTGGTGTTTTGTGACCCTTAAAGATAAGGAGATAAAGTCTACAGAGATATTTCAGTATTTCTCTGTTGCAATCGGGCGATCAATAATTAACTCCGAAAAAGCCAAAGCAGCGCAAACACTAGCAGATTACTGTTGTGTTTGAAATTAGGGAAAACGTTAAACACATTTCTTCTTTCTTTCTGTTTACTGAACTAATCGGCAGTAATGAAAACAGGAGACTCATTACAAACAGACGGCCATCACCGGTTTTAAGACTTACATGAGTCCCATTCAAGCGGCAACCTCCCTCTCTCCCTCGGGAAGCCAATACGGAGGTAACTGAAATGGCAATTCATCGAAATTCCGCTAGTCTTGGCTTCATATGGAGCAAATTTCAATTGAGCCCACTGTTAGAATGGCCAACTTTACAGCAGAACAATAAGGTGTTTACAGCCTGATACAAAGAACGATTTTGGTTCATAAAGCTAATATTACCCTTCATGACAAATTTGAGGGGGGTGAATTTATTTATTTATTTATTTTTAGAAATCAGCAGTTTCATTTACATTAGGTTTTATTAAGTCTTATTAATTCATTAAGTTAAAAATAATATATTTTTCTTCTGGAGAAAGTCTTATTTGTTTTATTTAGGCTAGAATAAAAGCAGTTTTTAATTTTTAAAAACCCATTTTAGGGTCAATATTAGCTATATATTTTTTTCGATAGTCTACAGAACAAACCATCGTTATACAATGACTTGCCTAATTACCCTAACCTGCCTAGTTAATTTAATTAATCCAGTTAAGCCTTTAAATGTCACTTTAAGCTGAATAGAAGTGTCCTGAAAAATATCTTGTCAAATATTATTTGCTGTCATCATGGCAAAGAGAAAATAAATCAGTTATTAGAGATGAGTTATTAAAACTATTATGATTAGAAATGTGTTGAAGAAATCAGCTCTGTTAAACAGAAAAAAAGCAGGGCTGCTAATAATTCAGGGGGGCTAATAATTCTGACTTCAGCTGCATATATGGGTCATGAATGTTGAATAAATAAGTACACTTTCTACACTTCTGCATGTAATTCAGTCAGAAATCACAGCAACTGTCTCTATATAATTTATTTTGGTGCGCCAGTGTATTTTTACACACGGTTCCAGTAGTTGTTCAAGTTTAAAAATTTCCAGATGAACCGCTACCTCCTGTCTGCGAGTGACAGATGAAAGAGGAAGCGGTGAGTGCAAAAGCAGGTCATAAAACTGTGCAGTATTGGAGATCCACCACACACACAAACAACATCCCGAGAGATCTGATGTACCTGTAAACAAACACACACAATCCACAACAGTCATGAGGATTTCTGAGAAAATTAGACCTGTGTAAATAAATGTGACTGCAGTGGCATAATGTTACACCCTTTACTGCAGTTTTAATAGTCAGATTTAACACGTCATCAGTCATTTTGGAGAACAGGAAGTAAACAATAATCCCACTGAACTGAAAGAAACAAGATTATTGGCATGTTTCAGTATTGGCATGTTTCAGCCTGTACTAATCGGTTGGAGAACTCTTTATGATTCTAAATCAAGCAAAAGTAAACTGTTGTTAAATGATTACATCTCTTTATCAGTCCTGTTAAAATATTTAATATTTATTTATTTAATATTATTTAGTATTTTCAAAAACATTAATTAATTTAATATTAATTCAATATTTATTTATTTATTTATTATTTGTTTATTTATTTAATATTTATTTATTACTTATTTATTATTTATTTAATATCTATTTATTTAATGCATTTAATATTTATTTATTATTCATTTACTATTTATTTACTATTTATTTATTTTATTATTTATTTTATTTATTTATTATTTATTTACTTAATAATTATTTATTATTCATTTAATATTTACTATTGATTTATTTAATATTTATTTAATATTAATTTATAATTTAATATTTATTCATTTAATGTTAATTTATAATTCATTTAATATACATTTTTATTGTTTTAATATTTTTTGTATTATTAATTTAATATTTATTTGTTATTCATTTAATATTTATTAAACACCTATTTATTTAATATCTATTTATTTATTTAAAATGTATTTAATATTTATTTATTATTAATTAACTAATTTATTATTTATTTATTTTATTATACATTTAATATTTATTTATTATTTATTTATTTTATTAATTTATTATTTATTTACTTAATATTTTTTTATCATTAATTTAATATTTATTTTGTATTATTAATTTAATATTTATTTGTTATTCATTTAATATTTATAATTTATTTAATATTTATTTAATATTTATCTATTTACTATTTATTTATTATTTATTAAATATATAATTCATTATTCATTTATTATTTTTATATCAATTCATTATTTATTTAATATTTACTTATTAATAATATATTAATTTATTATTCATTTAATATTTATTTATTCATTTAATAATTTATTATTCATTTAATATTTATTTATTCCCTTAATATTTATTTAATTAATATTTATTTATTTAATATTTGTTTATTCATTTAATGTGTATTTATTTATTAATAATTTAATATTCATTTAATATTTATTTAGTAATTTAGTATGTATATTTTTTATTAATTTTATATTAAATTACTAAATAAATATTAAATTACTTAATAAATATAAAAATTATTAAAATATAAAATTAATAAAAAATAGATATTAAATTACTAAATAAATATTAAATTATTAAATATGTATTTTTTTTATTAATTTCACAATTAATAATTTAATATTTATTTAGTAATTTAGTATTTATTTAATAATTATTTATTTATTTAATATTTATCGCATAAAATAAGTATTTTTATTTATTAATTTATTTATATAATATTTATTTATTTTAAGTTATTTTAAACACAATTGTTTTCGCTGGATTAGCTGCTGGTATAATAATGTGCATTCTTTGATGCATCAAAAAGGTTTACTACAATTTTGTCAAATCCTTTCAATCACAAAAAGCGCCAGCAAATTAAGAAAAGTCCCTCATTGGTTTGACAGCATACATGTAGGATTTTCTCACAACACAAATATGACAGAAAACAACTGAAATATTTCAAGGGGACCCTGAAACATGACAGACCCAGCTGGGATTTATTTATTGTGCCGTGTCTATTGCTCAGTGAAGTTATAGTTGATCTTCGAAAGCCAAGATTTTGGCTTATTTTAACATCCTTATAACACCATTCCCTTGTCTTTTGGATATTATTAGCATGAATAACAGCGGTAATTGTGCATGTTTAGTAATTGCATCTGTTTTCTTGAATTGCAGCACGTTAAGCTCTCTTGGCCACTGTAAATTTCAGATCTAATCTGACAAAGATGTATCGTACCTTATTATAACATACCTAATCTTTGGTCTCTCCACTGGAACTCTTCTCCACTTTATCCTGTTTCAACAAAAAGTGAAGAAAAACTAAATATGGTATCAGAATTCAAACAGTTGAGCATCACAAGCCAAGCTCATGAGTTTGAACAGTGTTTCTCAATCCCGCTCCTCCTGATGTTTGTCTTTTCACATCAGACGTTTGTTTCTAATTTAACAAGTGACCTGCAAAGTGGACTCCACAGGCTATTACACCATTATTTCAGTCTACAGGGAGAATAAGTTGACATTTTAGCATGTGAAATCTGAAAAGTGTATTTATTTATAGATGTACACTGTCACAGGCTTCTCTAGTAAGATGCTGCAGGCAGTGCTGTTGTGTAAATCTGTCAACGAATGTTTCAAAGTAAAATAAAGGTTTCTTGTGCTCTGGTAAAGAGTAATGAAGGAGCACTAAGATCTTCTGCAGGGTATATGCAGGAATATAAAGGTAATTTTAATATCTAAAGCTGTTTTTTGCATGAACTAAATTTATTTTTATATCTTGGTCACACTAATTGGAGAGCCGGAACAAATTGCCACATGGGGCACCAATTGAATTTTCCTGCTGTATGGTTATGCCACATATGGAGATTGCACATCACCTTAACGCGTTTGTCACGAATTACTTGACATCACCCAAACAGAGGAGCATGGCTGGACACACCCGGCCTGAACTGATCGAGGACAATAAAAATATTGGTCACACTTTACAATACGTTTCATTAGTTAATGTTAATTAATGCACTTATTAACATGAACAAACAATGAACAATACATTTACTACTGTATTTGTTCATGTTAGTAAACGTTAGTTAATGAAAATACAGTAGTTCATTGTTAGTTCATGTTAACTCATGGTGCATTAATGTTAACAAGCATAGACTTGGATGTTAATAATGCATTAGTAAATGTTCAGTTATGATTAATAAATGCTGTACATGTGCTGTTCATGATTAGTTCATGTTAGTAAATGCATTAACTAATGAACCTTATTGTAAAGTGTTACCAAAATATTTATACTTATTTCAAGTCAAACACTTCGGACAACGCTATATTGCATAGGGACCCTGAGCATGTGTCAATAGCGCCGCCATATTTATACAGTGCTCCCAGGACAAGTGTCATTCAACCGCACTAGTCAAGACAGTGTTATTACGTGAAGATGCGGGACTTTAGCGCTGTCTACGGGTGTAGTAACGAGCAAACAAAGAAAATAAAGCACAGGCAGAACATTTCATAGGTAATATTATGTTTTTTTTCTGTTTTTGTATGTTCTGAACTTTTGTGCTAATCAGGTCACGTTATTGATGATAACAGTCACTTACTGCATTCACCATACGGCAAAGCAGCTCCAACTCGCACTAAACACTCGGCTTATGCTAGTTTTGTTGCATAAAATCAGCAAACAATGCAAAAGAAATATGACAACGAGATGCTGCGCTGCCAGAAACTTGTATCATTGTCGCCTAACGTTAGTGAAAGAGTCGTTCGGGGGATTCATTCACAAACGAATCGCTCCCTCCGTCAGTATGAGAAGTGAAAGCAGGAGAGGAGGTGTGTTTCAGGACATGATTAGATTAAATTTAACAGGGAGGGTGAATAGTACATTTCTGTACACACAAACACAAGCTTTTTGTCAGGAATGCCCGTGCGGTCACTGATCCATCAATGTAGAAAAGTGATGTAAAATTATAATTTTCATAATTAGAAAAAACAATTACACACTAACATCCAGGAAAACTCCCGATCATAGATATATGTGTATATGTGTATATCTCTGGCTTTGGATGGCCACAGTCCTCCACTGTACCTTGGTCCCGCATTCATTTCAAAGGAGCGCTACGCTGTACCAAGATGGCGGCGCTATTGACGCATTCCGTCCAATAGACAACAGTAGGCCAGGCGACATCTAGTGTATATATCTATGGTCTTATGGTAAATGGTTATATACAGAGGTATTTACAAAGAAAAGAAAAATTAAATAGATGATTGACAAAGGATTTAAAGTGTAATCTGTGTGCTACTGATGAATGTACAGAAGGTATAATATTTATGTGTTAATGAGAGTACAGAGTGTATATTTGAAGACTTCATTGTTGTAAAAAAAGAGAACAAAACTGTATGTTTGATGAAATGAAACATGATTTGTGAGGATATGTTTGCTATACTATGACTGTTAATAAACATATGCTAGCAAGCTGCGCCTGGGGAAATACACTGAAGTTTTATTGCGATTATGTTTCTCCTGATAGTTCGGGCACTTTAATCTGCCTACAAGTTCCCGTAAACAAGCCTAATGTAATGTTCTGTAAATGTAAAGACGTAAGGATGTAAGAGATGTGTTCACCTTTTGCTTGTCTTTCTTTGAGGCAGGTTTGTCTTTAAAGAGTTTCTCCACAGTAACATAAGCCTGAAGCGCCCAGTCGTACACACTGTCTCCTGTGCTCTGTGTTGACAGATTAGAAACACATACAGAGATTATATATACTGTATATACATAGAGACAATCCAAATCCATGGGTAATGTTTTTAGCCCCTTTCACACAGTGATACCGGTAAATATCCGGAAAATTTCTGGAACGACTTTACCGGTAAATTCAAAAAAGCGCTGTTCACACAGGCGAGGACGTTACGGAATTTTTCCGGAAAAGTGCGTTCACACATCCACTCCAAAATACCGATAAATTCTGACATCATTAACCACAAATGAGCTTTAAACGGCTGCGCTTGTATTTGTAAACATTTGACTAAATTACAAACTCTATGGATGATCAATATTGTGAACAACTTTCGCAGGATCACTTTCGCATGTCGAGATGTTCATAATATGTGCGTGTGCAGGCGCTCACAGGCTGTTTCACAGGCGCACGCAAAGCTTGAAGGTAAACAAACAACGGCTTATCATAAGCATCTCATCGATGATTATTTACACAGTTGGCATTAAAAAGAACATATAAACGTGATCTGACTAACTTCTAGCAGCTAAATGTGTCTGGAAAAATATTTTAAGGTTTTTATTCTCATAAACCGCGCGGACGTAAATGCGTCTGACTGTTGTGATTGGCTAAAGCAGACGTCTCACGTCAGCATGTTCTAGACGTGCACGCGCTTATTACGGGAATCTTCCTTCTGCATTCACACAGCGCAGCATTCCGGCAAATTACCGGTAATGTTACAACTTCTCTTTCCGGAAAATAGCCAGAACGAATTTACCGGTATTTTCAAAAAGGACCTGTTCACACATACAGACCTTTCCGGAAAATTGGCGGCAATTTTCCGGAAAGGTCTTTATGTGTGAAAGGGGCTTTTTTGTTCCTTCTGCGTTTACACCGTGCTTGTGAGGTAGCGAAGAAAGCGCTTGCGCTGTCAAAAGAGAAAATGAAGCGTTGCTTTGATAAGTGAGCTGTTTCAGCTGAGTTTAAGCCTAATGAGAAAGTTCTTGTATTGCTTCCTTCACCGGGTTCTGTTTTAGCTGCATGTTTTACTGGTCCATATGTATTCAAAAGTAAAATCATGCGTCACAACTAAGCAAGAATGAATAAAGAATCAAAACAATTATACAACACTAACCTAGGACTAACAACCCAACAACTAACAAAGCATAACACTGAAGGAAAAAAAACAGTAAATAAATAAAACTAGAACCTAAAGTTTATTGATAAACTTTGATGTTGGCTTGAGAAAGCCAACGTGACTGCGCTAGGACTAGGAATGGCAGTTGGCAGGAAGCATGGTGGCGGTTGCTAAGTCGTTGCTAGGCAGTTGCTAAAACAATTATGGCATTGTTAGGTGGTTGCTAAGCAGTTGCTAAATGGCAATGCTTGTGTACATGTTTGATCAAATGCTAATACTTAGTAGGCATTTCTAGCATATGTTATTGCATTTAGATAATCATTCATAGCATGTAGCTAATTGTTATTAGCACTTAGCTTCCATTATCATTGTTACCATGCATAGTACACCGGAAGTCCCATTTGCTAGCATGAGTCAAACAAGCCAATGCCCAGGTCCCTACGATGTTCTGATGTAGAGATATTACGATTTTTAAATGGTTGCTAGGTTATACTGTTTTATTGCTATGGGGACATTTGACAGGTTAGTGATGATACATCAAAGCTTCTTGGCAATATGAGTGATCTTAATCAACCCCGATGTTTCTATGACAGTCTTTATGAGTGTCAAAAACTAGACTTGAACATTATGTATTCCTGGTGTTGGGTTGCGGCTGGAAGGGCATTCCCTGTGTAAAACAAATGCTGGATAAGTTGGCAGTTCATTCCGTTGAGGCGACCCCTGATTAATAAAGAGACTAAGGGAATGAACATTATGTAAAAATGGCTTGCCGTATTTTTTTGAAAATACAATGCTTAATAAGTGTGAAAGTGATACATGCAAAATGGCTTGCCATATCAGTAAAAAATATGGAGTTTAAGTCATTTTGAGAAAAAAAATGCTTAAAAATTATTTATTGGAAAACTATAAGTCTGATAAACCTTAAAGATATAGCAACAAAATCTAATGCATCTTAATACAGCTTTTGGCCAAATTTGGGGCTTGTATAATTTTTTTATATGCCCGAATTATAAAAATTTAATATTTAACATTTTTTGTTAAAAAAACAATAAGTCTTACAGGCATGAGGAGATATAGCAACAATCTAGAATGTAGAAGGCACATTTTGACCACATTTGGGCCTTGTGGCATGAACGGCCTAAGAGGAGATACGTTTGTTTTCAAGGACAGAGTAGCATAACAGTATGTTGGCTTTCTCAAGCCAACATAATAAAAGAAGTTTGATGGCTGGCAGTGAAGTCTCCTCTCTCTCCACTTAATGTTGGTCCATATTTATAGCCAATTTGCAACTAGCGCAACTCGCCGCAGGTGCGAAAAGGCACCTAGGAAACAAACACTGAGTGACGTCATGATACACACGCAAGCACAGGCAGGCGACAGCCGTAACACAACTATCAATATAACATGGCCACAGCCATGTCACCCTGCAGCCCAAGACCGGTTACTCACTGAAGCTAAGCAGGGCTGAGCCTGGTCAGTACCTGGATGGGAGACCACTAGGGAACACTAGGTTGCTGTTGGAAGTGGTGTTAGTGAGGCCAGCAGGGGGCGCTCAACCTGTGGTGTGCGTGAGTCCTAATGCCCCAGTAAAAGTGAAGGGGACACTATACTGTCAGTGGGCGCCGTCTTTCGGATGAGACGTTAAACTGAGGTCCTGACTCTCTGTGGTCATTAAAAAAAATCCCATGGCACTTCTCGTGAAAGAGCAGGGGTGTAACCCCGGTGTCCTGGCCAAGGCCCCTCTATCGGCCCTTATACGATCATGGCCTCCCAATCATTACCTTCCACTGAATTGGCTCTATCACTGCCTCTCCACTCCACCAATAGCTGGTGTGTGGTGAGCGCACTGGCGCCGTTGTCCTGTGGCAGCCGTCGCATCATCCAAGTGGATGCTGCACACTGGTGGTGGCGTGGAGACCCCCCCCCCCCCCCTCATGATTGTGAGGCGCTTTGGGTGTATGGCCATACACAATAAATGTGCTATATAAATACACATCACATTACATTACTTGTAGTTAAGTGTTTACAAATACAAGCTCAGCTCATTTCTGGTTAATGATGTCAGAATTTACCGGTATTTTGGCATGGATGTGTGAATGCTCATTTCTGGAAAAACTCTGGAACGTTCCTGCCTGTGTGAACAGCGCTTTTTTTAATTTACCGGTAGTCGTTCCAGTAATTTTCCGGATATAAACCGTTATCACTGTGTGAAAGGGGCTTTTGAGAGATAATCAGAGTTTTTCCATATTGGTTACAATGAAAACAGAGCGCCGGCTGATAGTAAGCAGCTCTCGGCGGGAGCTTGTGTTTATGGCCTTGGGAGTTTAGGAGGAATGTGTTTCAGCTGCGTTTTTGAGCTGTATTGATGAGCTGGAAAGTTATGGATCATAACCTCACCCTTGACTATTCCCTCATAAAACACTGTATAGATCATCTTTCAATCCCACTGTGACAAACTGTATTTTTAAGCCAGCCTGAAAACATCCTGCAAAAAATTTATGTGATTTTTATTTACAATATCATGAGTGTCCTTTAAAGGGTCAGTTCCCCCAGAACTGAACATTCTGTCATCATTTATTCACCCTTTACTTGTTCCAAACTAGTTTGAGTACAAAAGAAGATATTTTGAAGAATGCTGGAAACCTGTAACCATTGACTTCCACAGTATTTGTTTTTCATCAATGGAAGTTACAGGTTTTCAGCTATTCAACAGAAAAAAAAAACTCTCCGATTCCAAACCGTTTGTGGGTGAGTTAATGATGACGTTATTTTAATGTTTGGGTGATCTATTAAGGTGGTAAACTTTGGGTAGGTGTTACTGGCTGCTGATTTAATTTATTTCCATATAATGCAAAACAGTTTTGTGTGGTAGACATGTGATGGACAATGCTGTACGCATCATTTGTGATTCAGAAAATGGTGGCAGAAAGTTGTTTTTAAAGTGTTAACAGAGTTTTAACAGCGATTCAGAGTTTAAAAATGTCACTGCTTTCCATTTGTGCACACTGGAAAAACCTTTGAAAATGTAAAGCTGAACAAAATGAAAGCTTTAGAAAGCATACTCCACAGATGATACACTGTACTGACACCCGCAGGTGCACTTTGGTCAATGGTAATAATGCAGTTAAAGGTGTTTACATGCCTGTATACTCCAAATAAAATTGGCATAGACCACCTATGGTAATACGATAATGCATATTGCGATTTTATGAGCTTAATCACATTATTTAGGTTGAATTATTGGTAATATTTAATTGCAATACAAAATCTCATTATAATCACATTTAAGATGGTCCGTGTAAACTAGGAGTACCCAAACCTTTTCTTATAAAAGGCTAAAAACCAAACTTGATTGAAGACTGCAAGACTTGACTGAAGACCGAAGTTAAATAAACCAAACTGTATTACATTAAATTTGCTCATTTATTTGTGTATTATTCAAAAATAACTAGAAAATGCTGCTTTAAACATATTGAATAAAGATGTAGTATCATTATTTAATATTCATATTAAAACAATCCCATTTACAGGGTTTCTGCCGGTTTCACCAAGTTAAATTTAAGACTTTTAAAGACAATTTTAAGACCATTATGAATGACATTTTAGACTTTGAGACATTTTAGATACAGGGCTTAATGCTAAGAATTGTTTTTTCGAATATCCCAGTTGAAAAAGCTTTTCACATGCCTTATCTAAAAATGATTAAAATGTAATACATTTAATAATACAATAATAATAATAATTTAATAATAAAAACAAACATCAGGTCAGGGGTCTGTTTTTCTTACATGGATTACTCAGTTAGCTGGATTTGAATATTGACGATTTGACACGATCCAGGATCATTTCGTTCTTTAAATCTCATCTGAGACTTGTTGTCATAGCAACAGTTCTGGTAGCTCAAACCTGCTTGGGAACAGGCTCATTTCATATCAAAAGAATTAGATCGGGTCAGTTAAAGCAAAGATAATACTGAATGTATGTACCGAATTCCGGTATTTTCTTACAGTAGTTATAAAATAGTAAATATATATATATTTTTAACTATTTAAATAAAGTTATATATATATATATATATATATATATATATATATATATATATATATATATATATATATGGGATGTAACGGTATCAGAATTTCACGGTACGGTAATACCTCGGTATGAAGTTCACGGTACGGTATTTATTGAATCCTTTACAGGAAAAAACAAAACTTATGAAAATACTCCAAAAAAGTGCCAAAAGTGTCAATGACATACAAATTAGCCATCTATCTGTAAGCTTTGAAACAGGAACTTAAATTTTAATAACAAAAAATTATTAAACCATGTAAAAAAATTAAGTTTCAATTTAGTATTGTTGAAAACTCATCACATTCAACATTTAATCACTCACTCACTTAGATAGAGATGGGTTTAAAGGAAAATTATCATATAAATATAATCTGGTAAAAGCTGGTATCTCTGGGCATTTACAATGTCCCCTGCAACAGAAAAAAACCCTCTCATTTGGGACTGAGGTTTCTGGGACAAGAGAGATATGACTTGGCCCAGGTTGACAGCAGTGGGTAACGTTGTGCATTGTCTTTCCCCCACTTGAGAGGACAAACCATGAGTGAGATAGAGGTCTCATGTCTGCATCAATCTGAACAGTATGCTGTGTTTCTGCAGTCCCCATGACTGATTATTAGTCGTATTCCCCAACTTGCAGGCACGTGCACACACAGGGCTCAACCTGTGCAGTGCACATGCCCTTTTTAGTCTTGGATAGAAAGTTCCCTTCCAAAATGATCAAAAGTGCCCCCGCGACGCAACACACCCTCCGTCCCCGCTTTACAGTACGCGCGCGACAACACAGCTGATAAGAACTCGCGCGACAACACCGCTATTCAGTACGCGCGCGGCGACAGCACCCGCTTTAGGGTTTTCCAGCTCTTTTCGATCCCCGCTTCTAGCAGCACACTCCATTTCCGCATTACTGGATCTGTAGCGACAACAGACCGCAAGGGATTATGGCCAAGCCTGGGCAGATGGAAATTGTAGTTTCCGGTACCTCCCATTCGCTTCATTCGCCTGAGCAAATTTTGTCAGAAGACCTATAGTTTTACCGAGTCATGCGACTACGTTAATATCGAAAAAAATTAATATTGCGGTATGACGGTATTTACAATACCGTTACATCCCTAATATATATATATATATATATATATATATATATATATATATATATATATATATATACAACTTATCCAATCTGCACTCCAAAACAAAAGTATAATGACTGCCACCTGGTGGTTCAAAGAGAAAATTTATTGATATGAACTTTTTAGATGCAAACGAATACATGCACAATATTCGACTTTTAAAAATAATTTATGCAGTCATGCACGTGTTTTGATCGCTAATATGTCGGTGATTTGAGGCTTCGCAAAAGTTGCAGACACCTTTACCAATATCAAAATGCTTTTTTGATGCAAAATTAATTTATACAGTTATTCCTTATGCCGATTCAAAAAAAAAAAAAAAAAAAACTTGAGTAGGCCTCAATGTAAATGTAGAACTAAATACATTGATTAGCATCGAAACACATGATGAATACTACTGACACATGAGAGTGTAAAACCTGCAGCTCATAACAAATGTGTAAAGTTATTGCGTATCATATTTAACAAACCGTTTACTGCTAGTTTTATGTAATTTTGCTCATATGGATAATTGAATATGAATCAGATGATGTCATTACGTTGCTTTGCCGTCAGCCAATCATTGCATTACTGATCATGTTTTCGAGGATCAATAGATCTGTTCTTTACAACACAGGCACAGATCGCAGATCAGTTCATCCAGACATCTGATTTGCAAACTTGTTTGAAGAACCAAATTAGCCAGAGATCAGTTATCAAGATTAAAAGATCCAGGATCTGCCAAATAATCTTAGATCATTTAAGCGAAGTACGAAGAACAGACCCCAGGTCAGTATTCTACGCAATAAATAAATGTAGTACTTTTTAATGTTACTGTGAGGAAAGTAATTAAATGCTATTTTTAAAGTAAAAAGTTAAAAGTTTTATTGCGATTGGGATTGTTGGTGATTGTAAGGGTGTTGATGGCCAGAATGGTATACATGAAAAGAAAGTAAAGACCTGTTAAAAAAAAAAATTAAGACCTACAACGCAATATGTCAGTATATTTAAGACTTTTTAAGGCCTAAAATTTAGCTTTTGAGACTTTTTAAGACCTCGCGGATACCCTGATTTGTAACACAATGGAGTTCAATGCTTAATACACTGCCTCTGCCTTGATTTGCTCGCCGATGTCTTGTGCATTGTCCTCTACCTGTCAAGTGACAGTATTTACATTTCAAAAGTCTGATTCATTTACACATTTAAATGAAAAATTTTATATTAGTTGTTTTTTTTTGTAGCTCCTCAGTTAAATGGTGTAAATGCACTCATTGTTTACTTCTAATTCCTGCACTTTGTTTGCCTCTTAGCACTGTGCTTCTGCAGTACACAAACATCCATGTTGTCCACCAGAAATAAGTTTGAAATATTTGTATAGTTCAATATTTATCTTACAAAAATGCATTCGCAACAGGAGACCTTTATAAAACACACAGGAACATGTGTGAACACAGACACACATACTTTAGCAATGGTCACGGCCTCTTGAGGATAGTACATGGATGCTCCAACTGCCATTAAACCCGTTGGGTAGATCAGTCTCTTCAGCCTGGAGCCTGAATTACAAGAACATTGCATTAACATGTTTTCAACGCGTTTAACACAATATGGCAATAACACATTGCTGACATGTTTCTTACATGTTTAGAACAGACAACATGTTTGTATCACATTGCTAACATGTATCTAAAACATGTAAGAAACATGTTAACCATGTGCTAAAACGTGTGATAAAATGTTATCATGTTTAGAACATTGACAGCATGTTCTTATCACATTGCTAACATGTTTCTTACATGTTTAGAACACAGACAACATGTTTTTATCACATTGCCAACATGTTTCTTACATGTTTAGAAAACTGACAACGTTTTAATCACACTGCAAACATGTTTTACATGTATCTAAAACATGTAAGAAACATGTTAACCATGTGCTAAAACATGTAAGTGTGATAAAATGTTGTTTTAGAACACTGACAGCATGTTCTTATCACATTGCTATGTTTTGTACATGTTTTAGAACAATAATAGCATACTTTAAAACACTGCTAACATGCTTTAGCAAACTGATAACATCTTTCTTACATGTTTTAGAACAATGATAGCATGTTTTAAACATATTGCAAACATGTTTCTGATATGCTTTAGAACAATGAAAGCATACTTTATCACACTGGTAACACTGGTAACAACTCTTTTCTAACATGTTTTTTTTTACGTTTTAGAACACTGACAGCATATTTTTAACACACTGTTAACAAGTATTAGGACATTGCTAACATATTTCTTACATGTTTTAGAACACTGATAGCAAGTTTTATCACTGGTAACCATTATACACAATGCTAATATGTTTTTACATGTTTAGTCCAAGGATAGCATGTTTTTAATCACACTGATAACATGTAAAAACATGTTAACAATGTGTTAAAACATGTTTTAGAAGACTGACAGCATGTTTTTAACAAACTGTTAACATGTATTGGCACTCTGCTAACATGTTTCTTACATGTTTTAGAAAACGGATAGCATGCTTTATCACACTGTTAACATGCTTTAGCACATTGTTAACATGTTTCTTACGTTTTAGAACAGTGTTAACATGTTTTTTTATCACACTGCTTACACGTTAGCACATTGCTAACATGTTTTTTTTACATGTTTTAGAACACTCATGTTTTATCACACTGCTAACATGATTTAACTAATTGCTATTATGTTTCACATTTTATCACACTAAGGTTTTAACACATTGCTAACATGTTTAGCTCGTTGTTTTAGAATACTGCATATTTTGTAACACTGCTAACATGCTCTAGCACATTGCAAAGGTTACTTGCATGTTTCAGAACACTGATAATATGCTTTAACACATTGTTATTATGTTTCATTACACTGCTAACATGCTTTAGCACATTAATCACGTTGCTTACATTTTAGAACACTGACAAGATGTTGACACTATTAACATGTTTTAGCACATTGCTAACATGTTTTTTAATGTTTAGAACACTGACAACATGTTTTTATCACACTGTTAACATGTTTAAGCCCATTGCTAACATGTATCTAAAACATGTAAGAAACATGTTAACATTTTGCTAAAACATGTAAGTGTAATAATGTTGTTTTAGAACATTGACAGCATGTTCTTATCACATTGCTAACATTACGTACATGTTTTAGAACAATGATTGTGTTCTTTAACACACAGCTAACATTTTTCTTGCATGTTTTAGAACACTGTAAACATGTATTTATCACACTGTTAACATGAGTATCACATTGCTAATACGTTTCTTACATATTTTAGAACACTGACAGCATGTTTTTAACATAGTAAACATGTATTAGCACACTGCTAACATGTTTTAGAACACTGATAGCATGCTTTATCAGTGTTAATATGCTTTAGCACATTAACATGTTTCGTATTTGTTTTAGAACCCTGTTAACATGTTTTTATCATGCTGCTAACGTTACCACATTGTTAACATGTTTCTTACATGTTTTAGAAAACTGATAGCATGTTTTATCAAACTGCTAACATGATGTACTAATTGCTATTATATTTTTCACATTTTAGGATACTGACAACATTACCAAATCGCTAACACGTATAGCACATTGTTTTAGAACACAACAAATTGTTATCACACTGCTAACGTGCTTTAGCACATTGCAAATGTTTCTTGCATGTTTTAGAACACTGATAATATGCTTCAGCACATTGCTTTCATGTTTCATCACACTGCTAACATAGTTTAGCACATTAATAACATGTTTCCTGCATATTAGAACACAGATAGGATATCACACAATTAACATGTTTTAGCACATTGCTAACATGTTTCTAACATGTTTTAGAACATTGACGACATGTTTTATTACACTGCTAACATGTTTCTTATGTTTTAGCACATTACTAGAATGTTTTACTATGTTACCAATGTGCTAAATCATATTAGCATTGTGAAAAAAACATGCTGCCAGTGTGCCAAGTACACACCCTAAAAATGTGCTAAGTTATATTAGTAGTGTGCTAAAATATCCTAATAATGGGATAAAGCATGTAAGAAGTCTCCAGAAGAAAAATATACAAGGAAATACTATGAAAATGTCCTTGCTCTGTTAAACATCACTTGGGAAATATTTGAAAAAAATAATAAAAATTTTACACGGCTAATAATTTTTCTTCAACTGAATCATTGAGGCTTTCATTACCTCTTCCTAGAAAAAGTCCCAGGATTCCAGCAAAGCCGATGATTCCTGCTCTAGGATAAAACTCAGGTGGAGGATTCTTCAAGTAGGCATAACTGTCTAGAATACAGAGCAAAATAATTTGCATTATTTGTGTCTTCATATTTTCATTTATTTTCATACAATGCTTCACTTACTCTGTCCAAACTGTACAGTGCTGTCAACTTTGGGTTTCACCGTTCCATAGGCACCCTGAGACGAGGCGGGATGAATGAAGATTGTAAGTTATTATAATGTTGCTTTTGGTATACAGAAATAAGAATCATGAAGATGCTAAATGACCTCGACTGACTTGTAACTGTGGACAATCATGACTGCTGTCATTTCTTGTAATGCAGATACTTTAATTTATTAAAGTTTAAAGAAAGTTAAGAGAATTCATATGTTATGTTGTGTTGAACTGGCCTGGTTTGACATTGAAGGGTCAGCAAATTAGCTACTTCTTTGAACCTTGGTGAACTACTACCGAGTCCAAAGGTTTATGACTGTATTTCATGATGTCTAGGCTATATTTTATAGTTTATAAATGCACCTACTGGACAAATCTTTATCAGTAGCCATAAACCCATAATGCATGACCGACAAAGATAAGACCGTCTTTATCTTAGCAATCAGATAGTCTGCTATTCATGACCTAAGAGAGTAGACTTAGGACAACTGATAAATGAATAAAAATTAAACACCAGTATAAGGAAAATGGAGAGAAATGTGACGGCCATGGACATTTTCACAGAATTAAAAAATAATAGTCAAATTAAATGTAAAATTGTAAGACAATAATGTTCACTGAACATATGTACATTTATAATAATAATACATTTGTATTACTTTTAAATAATAATTATTATATTACATAAAATTTAAATGCTTTTCATATTTAACGTCTGTTAATGTTTACTGTGACTTCAACTGGCGAGTCTTTCATTTAATATTTACTTAAATGTTATAGTGATCAACTAAAATTAAATTAGATTAAAATTTAAAAAAGCACAAACTATTCATTACACAAACAATTGTTAATTTGTTAATAAAATATTTATTTAAATATAATTATTAATATTAATAAATGCAAAATTTGCACTCGTCCTCCTGACCAGCCATAGTGAAGGGCACTGACTACTAAAATATCTATGTATAACGGCAAATGCAATAAAGAATGTGCAAACCTGTTTGTACGGTTGTGGTTGCAATTCAAAATGGAAATGCAAATGACGTCATATAGTGACATACTGCAAATGTAAAGTGTTTGAGCCGCCACAAAGAGCAGAAATCTGTCCTTTGCACAAGTAAATGCAATGCCTACACTGCAAAAAAAAACAAAAACAAATTGGACTTGTTTTTAGTCCAAATATCCAAAAATTCTTAAATCAAGAAGTATTTTTAGACAAGTAAAAAATATTGTCTTGCTTTAAAAAATAATGACAAAATTAAGTGAGTTTTTCCTTTAAACAAGCCAAATAATCTGCTAAAGGGGTGAGTTAAATAGTGAACACAAAATTATTTTGCTTATTTTAAGAAACAAACTCACTTATTTTCTGAAAATGCTTCTTGATTTCAGAATGTTTAGATATTCGGGCTAAAAACAAGACAAAAACTCCAAGAAAAGCATTGTTTCCAGTATATATTCAGAACTGAATGCTTGCATACTTCTACCCATCTAACATGTGAACAAATGTTTAATTTAAGTTATCGGTTTGTTAAAGTCATGAAAGTAAAATTTGCACTTTATTTTGCCAGCATGCATAGTCTTAAAGTGAACAATTCATCTGTGCAAGTTCATCCACTTTTTCTTAATCTTTAATCAAATCAACTCTGGAGCATTCTAGTGATCTGTTGAAGGATTTTCCTGGGAATACTATTTCTAAAGGAGCTGTTGACATGGAATTGAACCATATTTTGGTAAAAACCCAAACAATACAGACATAAAAATAAAACTTAAAACATCTGAAAAATTTGTTGTGTAATACCAATGGAATGACAGAAGGAGAAAGAGCTGAACTACTGAAACATATTTAATAATTTACATAAAAGGATTTTTTTGGGCATGGCAGCTTGACAACGCCTCTTAGATGGAGAAGTCACATGCATTCCTCAGGTGTGAGTTTTTCACAGACTTCAACAGTGTACAAATCTTGATGGTTCTGTGGGTCTCGTCTATCAAATCTGAGCTTTATTTTGTATTTTCTATTGGATTCGGGTCAGGTGATTGGCTGGGCCATTCTACAGCTTGATTTTCTTTCTCTGAAAACATCTGAGAGTCTCCTTGGCTGTGTTTTGGCTCATTGTCTTGCTGAAAATGGCCACTCTGGTTTCTTCACTCCTGATAATGTAGATGTTGAACTCTAGCTGATATTAATTTCTGAGCAAGGGCAGAGTGTTGCTGAAGAACTACTCAGAGATTTCATCTGCTGTCTGGGCTTTCACTGCCGAACTATACCTCCCTTTCATCATGTGTTCAATACTTTTGCCCTGCGTCATTTCATTATATTACACTTAACTATATTTGTAAACTAACTAGATTTGTTTTCTTCGCATATATGAATTTCTTTGGTTGCTATCAACATCAAGTGCTACCAAAATCAAGTCAACAGCTTCTTTAGAAATATGTTTACTGGTGACGTGTTCAATACTTATTTCCTCTGATGTATTTTGCTGCAAGTAAAAGATGAGAGGAGGAGCTCAAAGAAAACTCCGCCCCCTAATCAATATTCAGTTTCAGATGGAAATACATCACACTGAAACAAGACAGCAGCAACTTCTGACTCACACTGACTTTAATATCAGCACAAAAATCTCACTCATGGAATGTAGTTTTTAAAAATCTTTAAGAACATACTTTATTTAGAATGCGCTCATTTTAGAATGTTCAGAACATTCCAAAAGTAACATTGTGATTATGTTTGCCAAACGGAATGTTCCAAAAATATAACTTGCAATCAGAAATGATGTTTTCATCCTAATGGTACTGCTAGCAAAATGTTCTTGGGATATACTGAAAATTTATGATATGCATTTTTTGACACAATGTCCATTTGAATCGGTCTTGGCTCGTTCTTTTCCACTGACTGGTACAGTACGGTACATTTCGGGTCGGTACGGGTCACCTTTATCAGGCTTGCGTTTCCAATACCAAGGGTACCCTTTTGGTGGGCGTGATGTATGACAGTTTCAGTCGCATCATTCTTACTAGAGGAAATGTCTACAGTAAAGCTGCACAGCTCGTTCACATATCATGTAAGCAGCACTTCTCACAAAACAGATGCTTTACACACATAAATACTTGTGTATAAATGTTTATCACAAACTTTTCTATGAACATGAGTTGATTATAACTGCAGATCAATGACAGTGCAAAATAGCCTACTGTAACGTCTGTAATTATATTAAATAAATAAATGCAACATATATAAACACATACAGACTCTTACAGTCTCTGATATGTTACCAACTACAGAAAAACTACACACAGCATACATTTCGTCCTTAATTAGGTTCAAAACAACACAAAATATAGCCTACAGTTCATATTAGTTCAAAGTAGAGGTCTGCATTCCCGCGGCTGTCCCACGGGCGCCGCAGGACCCAACCAGATTTCTGCGGCGCGGGAATAAATTTCCGAATAAATCGCGGGAGCGGTCGGTAACGGGCTTAATTTGGGACAGGAGCGGGCTGTCTAGCAATATCGCGGATATTGCTATGCGAATGAGAGAGAGAGCGAAAGCGAGAGAGAGAGCGAGAGAGAGCGAGAGCGAGAGAGAGCGAGCGAGCGAGCTTTGCCTGTGTGTGTGCGCGCGTGAATGAAAGAGAGAGAGTTTTCCCAGATAGCAAAATACACTCGGGCCAGTTCCGGCTAGATTCTCGCCTGCCAGAGACTTACCACTCAGCCCGGCTCCGGCTGCCGGACTCCGGATGCTTGTGGACTCACTCCGGGCCAGATGCGGCGGCCGTAAATGAGCCGACGCTGCCGCATCCGCGCCGGAATCGGCCCGAGAGTAATGTGCGCTGCGGCCCGGAGCTGGCGCGACTATATTTATATACCTTTATATAAAACCTTTTGGTATTACATTGGTACTTGATACATGGTTTTACAAGCCTTTGAGTTGATATAACAGCAAACGCCTGTGTGTCTGCTTGGTGCTTGTGTGTGTGTTAGTGCGCGCGCGCGTATGAAAGAGAGAGAGATTTGGGTTCGGTCGGGTTCGGGCTAAAACCTGGCGGGTGCGGGCCGGAGCGGGACTCAAAATTTAGTCCTGCGCAGATCTCTAGTTCAAAGGTCAACTAGGCAGTTTATTCACGTTTGCTGAAGAAATAATGTGCCCCTTTTTTTCCGGCTCCTCCTTTTTTTTGCTTCACTCTCGCGTTTGTCCATGTCTGACAGGATCAGGTTTCAAAAGCACGTCAATAATCAAGCACACGTTATCATCATCAGCTCAAGAAGTTTGTTATTTCAGATAACAAAACGCTCAGAAAGCGAAAACGCTAACGCTTCAGACTGGCTCGTAAAAAACTACGAGGCACAGGGTAGATTCTGCTCTACTCCATGGCTTTGTGGTTATTCATCAAAACAAGGTGTGTTTGAGCCCGGATCGACCATGGCTCGTTATTATATGTATATATTATTACGCTGTAATCTCTCGGCTGTGTATTTTAAACATGGTGGGTTTTTTGTTTTCATTCTGGGTTGTTGGGTAAGCGAATGACGTATCTCTGTAAACCAATAGCGTTCATCTGCGCGTCTAGCTCCGCCTTTTGGTACCCTTTCTTGTGTTTGGTACCCTTTTTGAAAAGGTGCCGAAAAATTGGTACGGTTCGGTACGCCTTTTGACAGTGGAAACAGCCATAAAAGCGTACCAAATTGTACCGCACAGTACGGTACCACTCAGTGGAAATGGGCCATTATATGCTTCACTTTGGTCATATGACCTCACCATAGACCTTGATTTAGATTATTTATGTAGTATGCAGTTTTCTGTTCTGATTATAGGCAGCTGTTTGAGAGCAGCAGAAAGCATGTGTATGTGTGTGCACTATAAAAAGTTCCACGCAATTCCTTTATGTTGTCCCAACACATATGAACTAAGCTAAGGTTACACATTGAAGAGTGAATTAAATATAAAACAATTACGTTTTTCAAAACAAAATCTGAAGAATTGTGTTGTCTCATTTCAAATAAGTAGTTTGAACAAGCAGCA